AGGAAGGGCTTGGAGGAGGGGCCAGAGGGCGGGGCGGGGCTTCCTGCCTCCCGACAGCCTCCGCCGCGGGCGCCACTGCGCAGGTGCGGCCGCCGGGTGGGATGAAGCTTCTCCCTGAGCTCGTCCCTGCAGACACTTCCTATTGAAAGCTGCTGGGGAGTTCGTGGGACTTCAGAATTTGTACACTTTCTATATATGCTACACTTCCTTAAAAATTAAAAGGAATGTTGAGCTGCCCTGCCTGTTTGGCTCAGTGGATAGAGCGTAGGCCTGTGGACCAAAAGATTCCAGTCAAGGGCGTACTTCGGTTTCAGGTTCCTCCCGGACAGGCCCTGGTCAGGCTCCTGCAGGGGGCAACCAATCCATGTGTTTCTCTTACATTGATATTGCTCTTTCCCTCTCCCACTCTCTCTAAAAATCAATGGAAAAATATCCTCCGGTGAAGATTAGAAGAAAAAGACATGTTGAGTCCCCCAAGATCAGAAGCCTGAGCACGAATCTTGGTTTTATTAAAGGCTCCCTCCCAATAAACATATTTCTCTCAAGGACCCATCTCAGGCCACACTTCTTACACACTTTTGCCCGGGGCTGTCCTGTGATGGGCTGAGTGAAACTAAGCAGACTGCCTGGAGGATGGACATAGCCATCCTCATTGTTGGCTAGGACAAGGGTCCTAAGGTCTGGACAGTTCTAAATGCTATTTCCAGCTAAATGCCAACATATAGCAGCATTCTGCCGATGCAGCAGTGAGCAGGATAAGAGGACAGGAAACTCAACCCTATAAATGCCAACTGCAGAGAAGAAACCAACATGTAATTGACCCAATAGTGTACATAAGCAATGACTAAGCTTCCTTGCAGCGGTTCTCAACCTGTGGGTCGAGAACAATGAAAATACATCCTGCATATCAGATATTTACATTACGATTCATAACAGTAGCAACATTACAGTTATGAAGTAGCAAAGAAAATAATTTTATGGTTGGGGGTCACCACAACATGAGGAACTGTATTAAAGGGGCAGCATTAGGAAGGTTGAGAACCACTGCAGGGGACAGAGCTTTGGATATGAATCCCATCTCCTTGATTTGCTGCAAGTAAAACTACCCTGTGACAGAGCACCTCAAGTGGTGAAAACCCCTTCAGTTTGGTAACAATCTTTCACATCCATATATGCCCCCTCAAATACAAAGGGTTACAAACGTAGTTACACATATTTCTATGCCCATGTCCCCAACATTTTTATAAATAAATGATATGACATAATAGGTGAAAATATTTTTTCAAGGAATAAGACCATACTAAATCCTCCATTTCTCATCTTGCACAAAAGTACTCATTTGTCAGGAGTGTGTCGTAGAAATGTTTTATACACATAAAAGATATACTAGCAGCCCTGGCCAGGGTGGCTCTGTTGGTTGAGCATCAGCCTATGCTCTAGAAGTCATTGGTTTGATTCCCCATCAGGGCACAGGCCCTGGTTGCAGCTTGATCCCGGGTAGGGGGCGCGCAGGAGGCAGCCGGTCAATGTTTCCTCTCCCTCTCCCTCTCTCTAAAAGCAACAAAAACAAATTTTTTAAAAAAATGTAATAATGGACTCTGAGTGAACAGACACTGGATCTAGACCCCACCTGTAGGTAAGAGAAGTTTGGCTGCCCGCGCCCAACCCCAGCAGCTGAACCCTAAGCACCTAGTCCAGCGGTTCTCAACCTGTGGGTCGCCAACAATGAAAATACATCCTGCATATCAGATATTTACATAACGATTCATAACAGTAGCAAAATTACAGTTATGAAGTAGCAACGAAAATAATTTTATGGTTGGGGGTCACCACAACATGAGGAACTGTATTAAAGGGTCGCGGCATTAGGAAGGTTGAGAACCACTGACCCTAGTCTATCATTGAATATAAGTAGTAATCAGTTAGCAACTGCTCCAGCTGGGGCTGAAAGTGCCTGATGGGCAAGGCATCTTCCTGCTTGAAACAATTAGCTCATGAAATGTCAAATACTTTGTCCTTACCAACTTAATCGTTCACAATTAGCTCACAATCAGACCACACATGCTCTCTCCATGAACTTTCCTTTTCTTTTCAAGATACACTCACAGTCTAATGATACCAGAAGAAATTTGTTTCAGGAACAAATTTACTGAGTGACAAATAACCATCCACACAGGAAGAAGAAAGTTGGTGAGGCTGGAACTAAATAACAGACAGATTCATCAAATGGTTCAGAGAAGGGCCTAGTTTTCCTAAGAGTCTGATTCCAAAGTCAGAAATGGGACATTGGAGTGTGAAAAGATGGCACATGAGACTCCTCCATTAGAATTCCAAAATGATGGTAACTTAGTTTCAGGTCCAGTCAATTCAAAAGTCATAACAATGTTTGAAGATGAAGGGAACAAATTCACCCCAGGACCCTCCAGCTCCAGATAAGATTAATCTACTTCTTCAATGGTGGGGCCTGTGGCAGCCCTCCCAGGTGTGTACCCAGTTCCACAGGTAGGCCCAGTGCATCCCTCCTGATAGAGTTTTGTAATGACTGGGTTACACACTTGCTCCAGTTCCTTTCTCTTATGATCAAACTCATCTTTCTCAGCCAGTTGATTGGCCTCCAGCCACGAAAGAACCTCATTGCATTTATCCAGAATTTTCTTTTTATCAGACTCACTAATCTTACCCTTCAAGCCTTCATCACTCACAGCACTCTTCATGTTAAAAGCATAGGATTCTAAGGCATTTTTTGCAGCAATTTTCTCTCTCTGGATCTCATCTTCAGCTTTATATTTCTCAGCATCCAGAACCATGCGCTCGATGTCCTCCTTGCTCAGGCGGCCCTTGTCATTGGTGATGGTGATCTTGTTGGCCTTGCCGGTGCTCTTGTCCGTGGCTGTGACGTTCAGGATGCCATTGGCATCGATGTCAAAAGTCACTTCAATCTGAGGAACTCCCCTGGGTGCAGGAGGGATTCCAGTCAGGTCAAAGCGCCCCAGCAGGTTGTTGTCCCTCGTCATGGCCCTCTCGCCCTCGAACACCTGGATCAGCACCCCCGGCTGGTTGTCCGAGTAGGTGGTGAAGATCTGTGTCTGCTTGGTGGGGATGGTGGAGTTGCGCTTGATCAGGGCCGTCATCACGCCCCCGGCTGTCTCCAGGCCCAGCGACAGGGGCGCCACGTCCAGCAGCAGCAGATCCTGCACATTCTCAGACTTGTCCCCCATAAGGATGGCTGCCTGCACTGCAGCCCCGTAGGCCACCGCCTCGTCCGGGTTGATGCTCTTGTTGAGGTCACGGCCATTAAAGTAGTCCTGCAGCAGCTTCTGCACCTTGGGGATGCGGGTAGAGCCCCCCACTAAAACAATGTCATGGATTTTCGCCTTATCTATCTTGGCATCCCGAAGAGCCTTCTCCACGGGCTCCAGCGTGCCCCTAAAGAGGTCTGCACACAGCTCTTCAAACCGGGCTCTAGTGATGGACGTGTAGAAGTCGATGCCTTCATAAAGTGAATCAATTTCCAAGTTGGCCTGCGTGCTGGACGACAGGGTCCTCTTGGCCCTCTCGCAGGCGGTGCGCAGCCGCCTCACGGCTCGCTTGTTCTGGCTGATGTCCTTCTTGTGCTTGCGCTTGAACTCCTCCACGAAGTGGTTCACCAGCCTGTTGTCAAAGTCCTCCCCTCCCAGGTGGGTGTCCCCGGCCGTGGCCTTCACCTCAAAAATCCCATCATCTATGGTCAGGATGGACACATCAAATGTGCCTCCACCCAGATCAAAGATCAGGACCTGTCGCTCGCCCTGACCTGCTTTATCTAAGCCATAGGCAATGGCAGCAGCTGTTGGTTCATTGATAATTCTTAGCACATTGAGACCTGCAATCACGCCTGCATCCTTGGTGGCCTGGCGTTGAGAGTCATTGAAATAGGCTGGCACAGTGATCACAGCGTTGCTGATGGGATGGCCCAAAAAAGCCTCAGCAGTCTCCTTCATTTTAGTCAGCACCATAGAGGAGATTTCTTCAGGGTAGAAAGCCTTTTTCTCCCCTTTGTAGGATACCAATACTTTGGGCTTGCTTCCTTCACTGATTACTTGAAAAGGCCATAGTTTCATATCTGATTGTACTACAGGATCATTAAATTTTCTGCCAATCAGGCGTTTGGCATCAAAGACAGTGTTCTGAGGATTCATGGCTACCTGGTTCTTGGCCGCATCCCCGATGAGCCGCTCGGTGTCGGTGAAGGCCACGTAGCTGGGGGTGGTGCGGTTGCCCTGGTCGTTGGCGATGATCTCCACCTTGCCGTGCTGGAACACGCCCACGCACGAGTACGTGGTGCCCAGGTCGATGCCGATGGCCATTCCCTTACCAGCAGCCATGGTTTTCCGAGGCCTGTTGAGAAAAAGTGAGATAAAGTCTTGGCAGAGTACTTCTTTAGTCTGTGTATTATTTTTAATTGTGCTAAAATACACATTAATGCAATTTACCATTTGAACCATTTCTAGGTGTACAGTTCAGTAATAAGTTCATGCACATTGTTGTCCAACCAATCTCCAGAACTCTTTATCTTGCAAAAACTGAAATTCTATGTCCATTAAACAGCTTACCATCCCCTACTCCCAACAGCTCCTGGAAATCACCACTTTCTTTTTTTTTTTTTTCAGCTATGCCTCAAAATTTTAATAAGATGCCCTCTACACACATTTGCTACTAAAAATTGAAACAGTACATCAAAAAATTTGTTACAATTCAAATACGTACAAGAATAAGGTGTATACCTAAATTGACTTCATGTCATAATTCTCAATGATAATACCATTAGAAGGATCTCCATGTAATAGTCAATAGCTATAGCTACATTTAAATCTTGGGCCTCCTGATTGATTCAGATACGTGGTATATAATAGCCTCAATCCTTGTCATCCTTAATCACAACCTTTCTTTCATTTCTTTCTGAACCCTTGCCACTGTCTTCACTCCACATCTCCTCGTGCCTTAACTCAGCCCCAGCCCGAACCCCTTGAAGTTTTTTCTGTGTCCTGCTGTTGGGGCGAACGTTTTGGCGGAAAGGAATGTGGTACTAGGGTTGAGAGTGAAGTCACTAAGGTTCTTTGCTAGCACTTCTGAGACAGCCTGCGTGCCAGCTGAATCTTCTTCATCGGGCATCTGAGAAAACTTCCGGGCCGAGGGTGGGTTGAGCTGCTCTGGTAAGTCCATTGGAAGTCTAGTCTCAGCCTCAAGTTCCTCCTAGATTTTGTCCCCAAAGAGTTCAAGCAGAAGGTGATGCTCAAAACTCTCAAATTGCTACAAAGCAGCCCGGAAAGAACTGTATAGCCCAAACACAGGAAATTCCCAATTCCAGAAATCACCACTTTCTGTCTCTGAATTCAACTACTTTGGATAGCATGTTAGTGGAATTATACACTATTTCTCTTTTTGTGACTGGCTTATTTCATTCAATATAAGTTTGTCTATGTTATAGCATGTGTCTGATTTTCCTTCCTTCTTAAGGCTGAATATTGCATTATATATCCACATTTTATTCATTTACTCCCTCCGGGGACTCTTGGGCTGCTTCTACCTCATGGCTACTGTGAATAATGCTGTCATGAACCCCGGATACAAGTGTGTGTGTGTGTGTGTGTGTGTGTGTACAAATATCTCTTCCAGCCCTAACTGGTTTGGCTCAGTGGATAGAGCGTCGGCCTGCGGACTCAAGGGTCCCGGGTTCGATTCCAGTCGGGGGCATGTGCCTTGGTTGCGGGCACATCCCCAGTGGGGAGTGTGCAGGAGGCAGCTGATCGATGTTTCTAACTCTCTATCCCTCTCCCTTCCTCTCTGTAAAAAAATCAATAAAATATATTTTTAAAAAATCTCTTCCAGACAATCTCCCATGCTTTTTAAAAAAATATGTTTATTGATTTCAGAAAGGAAGGGAGAGAGAGATAGAAACATCAATGATGAGAGAATCATTGGTCGGCTGCCTCCTGCACACCCCCTAGTGGGGATGGAGCCTGCAACCTTGGCATGTGCCCTTGACCTGAATCGAACCCAGGACCCTTCAGTCCGCAGGCCGATGCTCTCTCCACTCAGCCAAACCAGCCAGGGCTTCCATGATTTTTGGAGAGACAGACAAAAGCATTCTTCGTGGGAAGGCAGTGGGTGTCACTGTTTTCAATTTTCACAGGTCCTGAGGCAACTGCCCTGTCCTCTGTCTCTGCTGTATTTATTCTGAGGGTGACT